TTTTTTTTTTTGTGTGTGTGTGTGTGTGTGTTTTGGGGTATATTGATGGGATTTGGGGATTTGATGGATTTGGGGGTGTTTTGTTGGGTTTTGGGGGCAATTTGTTGGATTTTGGGGGTGATCTGGTGGGGTTTGGGGTATTTTGTTGAGTTTTTGGGGTCTTCGGGGAGGGTCTTTTGGGGTTTGCAGTATTTCATTTTGTTTTCAGCAGTTTTGGAGGATTTGCAATTGATGTGTGGGTTTGGGGTTGTGGGAATTGAATGTTGCTTCTGCATCAGAACAAAATAAGAATTTTGTTAATTTCATGACCTCTGCTACTATCTGGGTCCTTTATTAGAACTCATAGTTCTTTTCAGGCACCCTTCTACTTTATGGGGTTTCTCTGATAAGTTTCCTTGTTAATCCCCTAGATAAATCTTCCCCAACAGCACATACTAAGTATATAAGCAAAGTAATATGTGTGTGTGTGTGTGTGTGTGTGTGTATATCCATAGAGGTTAGGTAGATGGAGTAAATTAAAAGCACAAAGACTGAAGCTCCTGTCTGTCCAGCCATCTGAAAAATTTCTGTGCCTTCAGTTAAAGGCAAGCTAGATGTAATAAATATCTTTACAAATCAGAAACCCCTTGATGTTGGAAAAGCTTTTGGTGCTGGATAGACAGAACCTGAGCAATAGAGAATAAATAAAGGAGGAGAAGTTAAATAATTAAAAACACGTATGTAAGCTAGTAACAACTTACCTGTAGCCAGCATTGAAAATACATGTCACACACAAGGCAAGAGTATCCTGTGCAAATTAAAAGGACAATTCGTTCCATGCCTCAGGGAGTGCCTGAAGAAGGTATTGAGGAAGATCGGGCACCTCCCCTCCATATTCTTTGTTTAACGAGGACTCTGAAGAAAATCACCATATCAATATGAACAAGAAGAGTGTTGAGCTGTGCTGGAGACAGGACTGAGACCAGATAACAAACAAATTCACAAGTAATTAACAAATGTAAACCTTCTGATAAGATTGTGAACCTGGAGTACCCAGCCAGTGGGAAAACAGGGGAAGTAAGGGGGGAAAACCAGGTATAAAGACTGTCATGTTGTGTCCATAGGCCCGCTCCTGCTTGTGGGATGCGCACCATTGCAATCACGAATAAAATCTGCTTTTATCAAAGATACCGTTCCGACAAAAATTATTTGGGTATTTCCAACAGGGTTTTTCGGGGGTGGGGGGAACTTTGGGCCGTTCTTTGGGTCTTTGGGGTCTCCAACCCAACGCTGCCCTTATGGGGTCCCCAGTTTTTGTCTTTGGGGTCCCCAGTCCATGGTTTTGTGGTGTCTGCTCCATTTCTCTGTCTATGGGGTCTCCACGGCTGGGTGTGGGGCTCCACACCACCCCCTACATTCCTCCCCTCTCTTCTCCCCCCTCCTCCTCTGCTTCCCTTTTCCCCCCTCCGCCCCTTCCCCCCCTCCCAGGCAGTTTGTTGAGGTCCCTCTGAATGGCGTCCTTCCTTCCACTATGTCAACCGCACCACTCAGATGGGTGCCATCAGCAAACTTGCTGAGGATGCACTCAATTCCACCATTTATGTCATTAATAAAGATGTTAAAGAGCACTGGTCCCAAGACAGACCCTTGGGGGATACCACTCATTATCAGCCTCCATTGGGACATAGCACTATTAATCACCACACTCTGTCTTGCAGCCTTTCAACCAGTTTCTTATCCATCAGGTGGTCTATCCATCAATTCCACATCCCTCCAACTTGGAGGTAAGGATGTGGTGGGGGACTATGTCAAAGGCCTTGCTCAAGTCCAAGTAAATGACATCGGTCACATTCCCTTTGTCCACCAACGCTGTCACACCAGCATAGCAGGCCACGAGGTTGGTAAGCAGATACAAAGGCCGCAGCAGCTGCGATAGGTGGGGTATAAAGGAACAACAGTATCTCAATATACCCCAAAATTCCTGCAGCTGCCATGGCCCAGCAGGAATTGGGAACACCTGAACTTCGTCTGTTATCGCACTGACCAAATTACATCCAGGAATTTTACCAACAAACCTGGTCCTTGCACTTTTGTGGGCTCACAGCCCACCGTTTTTCTTCTAAGTGAGCAGTTAATGAGTCTACTGCCTGTTCTAATGCCTCCAGTGAGGCACCATTCTCCACAAATTCTAACAACAAAAACTCAGATCTCTCATCCATGGTCATGCACAGAAATGAAGCACACATAAATATACAAATGGAAGTGAATGTCACTGGGATTGTACCAGTGTAACTGCCTTTCCCACCTGCTATGGCTGATGCAAACATGAGTGACTGTAGGGTGGATGAGGAGAGACACATCCTGCTCACCCCTCCTCCCTCTTCCCCCCACCTCCAGCTTCTTCCCTCAGCTCCCTTCTTCAGCCTGGCCTTGCTCACAACACCCTGCACAGGAAGGCAATGCACAACACAGCAGGTTGCTCTGGCTAAAATAGATTAACCACCATAGATCTGTCTCAAAATGGGGACTGAAAGAACTGATAGCAGAGCCCTGCTTCAACAGCTGGGGCAAAACTGAGCATGTTCTGAGCCTCGGGACTCAGCAGGAGGGTCTCCTTTATGTGTGTGTTTAACCCTGCCCTCTGTGCAATAAACAACCACGAGCTTACAACAGGCTTGTAAAGGCACTATTTGATCACTACATGATAACAACATTATATCAATAAATGCATTCCTCCTTCTCTCTTAGAACTGAAATGCACAGCATAGCTGTTGACAGCCCCAGCTGCCAGCCAGACAGAGGCAGAAACACCTTGCAAAAGTTCCTCCCCTCGCCTTGCAGCTCTTCTCCCTGCTGGGCAGAGCTGAACTTTCTGCTGCCACTATTTCAGCCTCTGCCCGCCTGACAGTACAGGGCCTGAAGGCTCGCGCTGGATGCGTGCCAGCTGCAGCCATCCGCACCAATGCCTCGGCTGCATCTCCCTCCTCCCCCACCAGGGGGCGACACTTCCCATTCCGCTCAAGCACGCACACCGCGCTCGCTTCCAGGGGACGTTCTCAGCACCGTGCGCCCTTTGCAAGAGGCAGCCTGGGCTGCACTTCACTGATGTGGTGCTCGGCCGCGTTCTCAGCGTGTGCTACAGTCAGCCCACAGGCTGTCAACTTTTCAGCCTCTATTACACAGCCCAGTGCTGGGGCTGGAGCAGATGCTTGCTGTGCTCTGGGCCCGCAGCTGTGCGCTAAAGGCAGCTGCCGGGACAGCCTGAACAAAAGCCTTGGGACAGGTTTGCACAACCCCAGGTGAGCCATCAGCCCAGCGCTAAGCGTACAAAACGTAACGCTGCAAGGGCCGCTAGACACAGATGTTGCCTGCTGGGTCCACGAAGGGAAACTGCGGGCTCACGGGGGAGTGGAAATTCCCCCCTTGGAGACTTCACATTCAGACACTCAAAGGGAGGCATCGGGGAGTTGAAAGCTTCCATCAATCCATGCGTGCAGAGCTGCGGAACGAGGTCATCTCCTGTCTCCCGTGGCCCAGAGGGAGAAGCGCAGTCCAAGCTGGGCTGTGTTACAGAGAGCCGACCGGGCTGCAGAGCACGCTGAGCTCCTCTGCTCACTTCCTCGCTGTCCCAGCTCCTAGCCGCTGCTCCCCTCGCTGCGGCCCGTCTGGCCCAGCAAACCCGCTGTGCTGGTGATACGGGTCGGCTTCCTCAGCAACAGCGATTCGTACGTTCGTTTAAGAACCGATATATAAGTCGGCAAAGGGAATCCTGCCTTCGCGACTGTCTTCGCCTTCCGCTGCCACCCTCGCTGACCCAGACGGCAGCAGCGCCCGCCCACGCAGCCCAGCCCAGCCCGTCCTGCGGCGGCTCCGCCCAGCGGCCCGGCCCAGGCAGTTGTTGCAGCCTGGCTGAGTCCGGAACTCCTCTTCCCTCACGGCCACGGACGGTTGCGTTCCAGCAGGACGGGACTCGGCCTTCGCTGGGCTCCGCTGCTCTGTGTCCTCCTTCCCTCACATCCCTTTCCCTCCCTTCCCCTCCCCTCCTCTCCTCTCCGGCGCTGTTGGTCTCTCCGAGCGGCGACGTTGGCGCTGTGTCACCTCCCGGGCTGCTGCTCCCGGCACATCCCGGGACGGCGCTCAGCCCTGCGGGCAGCTCTGGGCACAGACGGAGCCGTTGGAGCCGCCGGCAGGAGAACGGCCGACTCTTCCCAGCAGAGCAGGTGAGGCCGAGCGGGGCAGAGCACATCACCCTTTCCTGCCTCGCCCCATGGCAGCGTGGGCGCGGTGTTTCCATTTGCCGTCCTGCGTGATGCTGTGGAGGAAGAGCAGAGGATCACAGACTGGCCCGGGTTGGAAGAGAGCTCAGGGATCGTGAAGCTCCAATCCCTCTGCTGCTGTCAGGGCCACCAACCTCCACATTTAACACCAAAGCAGGCTGCCCAAGGCCTCATCCAACCTGGCCTTGAACACCTCCAGGGATGGACGGGGCATCCACAGCCTTTCTGCGCAGCTGTTCCAGCACCTCACCACTCTCTCTGTAAAGAACTTCCCCCTGACATCCAACCTAAATCTTTTCTTCCTCAACCTAAAAACATTTCCTCTTGTCCTGCTGTTATCTACTCTTTCAGAGAGTTGACTCCCCTCCTGTTTGTAGGCTCCCTTTGGACCTGGAAGGCTGCAATGAGGCCACCCCGCAGGTTCTTTTCTCCATGCTGAACAAGCCCAGCTCCCTCAGCCTGTCTTCGTAGGGAATGTGCTCCAGTCCCCGGATCATCTGAACTCTCTCCAACAGCTCTTTGGGCACAGTTCTGCAGATGGAGCTTCACGAGGGCAGAGTAGAGAGGGAGGCTGGTTACTGGCCTCCACCCAAACATAGCACCATTAACCACCACACTCTGTCTGTGGCCTTTCCACCATTTCCTTATCCATCAGGTGGTCTACCCATCAAATCCTCATCCCTCCAACTTGGAGGTAAGGATGTGGTGGGGGACCATGTTGAAGGCCTTGCTCAAGTCCAGATAAATGACATTGGTCACATTGCCTTTGTCCACCAATGCTGTCACTCCATCATAGAAGGCCATGAGGTTGGTAAAGCATGACCTTCCCCTGGTAAAGCCGTGCTGGCTGTCTTGCATCGCACGCTCATTTCTCTTGTGATCAAGCATGTCATCCAGGAGGATCTTCCCAGGGACAGAAGTGTTCTGTGATCTTCCCAGTTACAGAACTGAGACTCACTGGCCTGTAGTTCCCTGGGTCCTCCATGCTCCTTTTCTTATGAATGGGAGTAACTTCACCTTTCCTCCAGTCATCTGGGACTTCACCTGACAGCCACAACTTTTCAAATAGGATGGAGAGCTGCTTGGCAGCTACCTCAGCCAGCTCCTTCTGAATTTTGGGATGCATGCCATCTGGCCCCATAGACTTGCATGCATTCAGTCTCATGAGGTGGTCTCACACTGCTCTGCCATTGCAGCAGGGAGGGTTTTACTGCCTGGGTCCCCACCTAGAGGTTAAGGGATGCAGGGCTCAGGGAAGTGATAAATATTAGAATCCTGGCTGCCAGTGGAGACTGAGGCAAAGAACTCATTCCATACCTCAGCTTTTACTTCATCTATTGAAGCCAGTTCTCCTTTTACATTTACTAAAGGAAGTAAACTGTAAAAGTTCCATATGTGTGGCTAAAGCATTATGGGTGAGAATGAGAGGTCTTTTATTTTCTCCAAATATGCTGTAACATCAGAACTTCTACCCCATGCTGCAGCAGAGAAGGAGTATTGGGGAATGTCAGTAGTTTTGGATTTGCAGTGGTCAGCAGCTGCATAAAGTGCACACACAGCAGCCTCCCTGTTTCTCTGGGGGTTGGGAACAATGTTTTTTGACAATTTATGATTGCAGAGTGAGTGTTTGACATACATTTCTCACCTGTGAGAACAAACTGTTCTCAAGTTAATTTTAATTTTAAAGAAAATATCCCTTTCAGACATGTAAATGCATATTTTGCTCAAAATGTAGCTGTGGGCGTAGTGTCATTCAGGCCCAAAGTGTGGTTTCTTCCTGGGGAGGGACACAGAGTGGAGTTGTTGAACAGGCACTGTGCCTGAATGATGGAAATGCTCTCATCTCTCCTATTTCTCTCATTTAAACTCCACTTCCAGCCCCCAAACCCATGCTGATCTCCCTGCTTGAAGGAGGGGAAGACCCCTGTATCCCAGATGTACGCACCGGTGAGTTGGTGTGGAGGGAAGGAGGAGGTTGCGTCTGGAAGAGCCATCTCTGTCTGTGTTTTATTTTGGGCACTGTGTGCTATTTCTGGATTTCCCGTCATCCAGCAGGAACTGGGATAACAGATATGCTGGAGGACCTGCAGGAAAGTGGTGTCGCCGAAAGGCGGTGGGGTGGTGTCTGTGTGGAAGAAATCAGAAGGGATGTCCAAGGAGGCCTGGAGCAAGGTCAGGGTGAGCAGCTCATGGAGCCACTGGGAAAGGGTCTGGGAAAGACAGGAAGGAGCCCACTGGACTTCAACATAGGTCAAAAGGATCCTGAAGAACCCAGGAGCAAGGATGTGTGCCAGAAGAAAAAGCAGAATCCATGCACTGAGTGTGGAAATAGCTTTAAATTACATTGCAGCATCATTAACCACCAGTGCATACGCTCAGCAATGAGGCCATACAAGTGCTCTGGCTGTGGGAAAAGCTTCAAATGGAGATCCCTTCTCATTATCCACCAGCGTGTCCATACAGGAGAGAGACCCTACAGGTGCTCTGAGTGTGGGAAGAGCTTCAAAATTAGTTCCCACCTCACCTACCACCAACACACACACACAGGAGAGAAACCATTTTGGTGCCGTTACTGTGGGAAGAGCTTCCAAAGGAGTTGTGAATTGAAGCGCCACCACCGCATCCACACAGAGGAGAGACCCTTTCTGTGTCCGGAGTGTGGGAAGAACTTCAAAAGCAGTTCTGCAGTGAAGCTGCACAAGCGGATCCACACAGGGGAGAGACCCTATAAGTGTCCTGAGTGTGCAAAAAGCTTCAAAAGCAGTTCTGCAGTGAAGCTGCACCAGCGCATCCACACAGGAGAGAGACCCTATAAGTGTCAAGAGTGTGGGAAGAGCTTCAGAAGGAGTTGTGAATTGAAGAACCACCAGCGCATCCACACAGGGGAGAGACCATTCAAGTGTCCTGACTGTGAGAAGAGCTTTAAAAGCAGATCTAATCTCAACACACACAAACACATCCACAGCACACACAGGCTTTAGAAGCTTTCCAAGACTCTGGGAACCTTCAGAGGCAGTTCCTGCTTCATTACCTACCAGCACAGCCACACAAGATACAGAGCATGCAGTGCCCCAACCATGGGCTGAGCTTCAGCCAGCCTGGTCTCCACCTGTGGTTTCATGTGGTGAAGAACCTTACAAATCCCTTGAGCAATGGAAGAGCTCTGTGGCCAAACTGAATCCCCTTTCTCCTTCTTTGCGTGGGAATGACCCCTATTGCTCTCATTAAGCTGCAGTCAAGGTATTGTGTGGACACTCTAAGGAGAATCCAGAGCGGGACGTGTCACAGCCACTGGAAACCCTCTACCAGATGGCATGTTTCTGCCAGGGCTGTGTGCAGGGAGATGCCTTGGAATTCACCGCTGATCTCCCCTGTAGAAACTCAACTGCTGTGGGAGCAGGTGAGGACCCAAAGGAAACCTCAGCTGGGTCAATATGTCACCAGGAAGGAAGAAATCCTGTCTGCAGGGAGTGTGGGAAGAACTTCATCTGGAGCTCAACACTCAGCAGACCCCAGAGAACCAAGGAGGGAAGATTCCCTGTGAGTGCCTTGACTGCAGGTCAAGATCCATCCAGAGCTGGGAGCTCATCACACAGCAGTAGATCTTCATGAGGAACCCTACAAATGTGCAGCCAGCAAGAAGAGATTTGGGCACAGCTCGAACCTGCTGAGGTACCAGAGTGTCTGCACTTGGGTGGAGTCCAATCTGTGCCTGCACCAGTGAGTTCACGTGGTAGGAAGCCTTAGAAATGCCTCGAGTGTGAGAAGAGCTTTGTGCAGAGCACAGAGCTCCTCACCTGTAGCAGAAAGTGCTACAAATGTCCCATGTGTGGGAAGAGCTTTTGCGAGGGGATACACTCAGGCCAGAGACCTTAGAAATGCCTACATTGCAGCAAGAGCTTCATCCAGAGCTCGATTCTCATTAAACATTGCCCAGTCCACATGGTAAAGTGGTCCTGCAAATATTTCTAGTGCAGGAAAAGTTTCTATCACAGCTGGCACTTCATTTCTCCTGGGAAAACCCCCAGGAGAGACACCTTGAGGATGCTGATGAGTCCAAGGTTGAGGGAGACCCAGATACATCTCCCGACTCAGAAAGACCTTGCAACAGAGATGGCATCACTGGCACCCTCTGCAGAAGGGACTTAACCCAGGAGCTGCAGATGGCTTTTCCTTGCTGCCCTAAGCTGTTCTCTCACCATGCCCACTTTCCTCTTCTGCTCTTCCTGTCAGCAGCTTTTTGATGCCGTTTCCTAAGGAGAGGCATCTGTGCAGGGATGTTTTGTGTGTCTGTGTGCATGTGTTGCTCTCAGTAATTTGTGAGTGCACTGATGAACCTGAGAGAAGGGTCAGGAGAGCAGTAATGTGCCTTCTCCAATAAAACTAGAAAAAGCTGAGCTTGTTCTTCCTAAATGCACCCTCCCAAGTTTCAGGAGGTGGTAGGAGCAGAAGGCTGTGCAAACCCACACGGTGCACAAGCAGCTTATCTCCACAGCACAGAGATATCAGACTGCTCTCCAGTGCATGTTTGCCTTGCTTGTGATCCCTTTTGAACTTCAAGGTTTTTATTTTGAGCTGGGAAGGGTGTGTCCGAGACCTCCTGCAGCAGGGCCTTCACATTTGCTGTGCTCAGATAAACCTGCTGTGCTTGGAATGCAGTGGGTAGGAAGTAAAGCACTGAGTGTGTCTGAAGGCTCCCTGACCCCCCAGCAAGCTGCAAGGAGATGATGATTGCAGTACCAAGGAGCGCTGCTTCTTCCATCCCAGGGAGCAGGGGCCTGGTCTGGCGCAGCAGAGGAGGGCCCTGGGAGTTGCAGGAACTCACAGCTCCAAGGGAAAATGTGTGGGGAGGAAGCAAGCAGCGGGGAGGCCTGGAGATCCCCAGCAACGGGAGGTAGCAGCCCAGCCAAGAGCTGGGATGATTTACTTCTTAATTGCATCCAATAATTGCTGTCCTGTGGCATCGGTCATGTGTTTCCTCTTTCCTTATAGGTTCCCCCAAAAAGCATTCTCACTATTTTGTGTTCTCATCTTACATCACCGTATTCTCAGAACCACTGTGCTGGTTTGCACTGGGTAGAAAAAGAAGAAATAAAGAGTGAAGCAGGTTTTCCTCTTTTACTCCATGAATTATTGCCTAACGTTTTATCACATATCATGTTTAGTTGCTTTCTGAATTTAAAAATTTTTTCCTCTCTAATTTGTTGCAAGCGGGGTGGAAGTCCAGCTCCTTGGAGCAGAGATTTTCTTCTAGAGTTTGTGTGAAAGTGATGGTGAATGGACACATGGAGTGAGATAAGCCTATGGGAGAGGACCTGACTATTCAACCTGTGTTGAATTTTCTGCTCCAGTTGTATGGCCTGTGGCATTTATCCAAGGATCTTAGGAATCTTGACAGATCCCAGTCGACTGGAAGCTGGTAAACATCCCAGTTTCCAAGAAGAGTAAGAAAGAAGACCTCGAGAATTACAGGCCTGCCGGTCTCACTGTGGTACCTGCAAAATTATGGAGGAGATCATTCTGGGAGTTTCTGAGAAACACTGCAAAGCCAACACACTTATTGGTAACAGCCAACATGGGTTCAGGAGAGGAGAGTCCTGTGGATAAACTTAATTTGCTTTGATGGCAGATTTACTCCTTTAGTCAACCAAGAGAAGCCCAATAAAGCTTCTGCAAAAGATTCTCACAGTATCCTTGTCGACAAAATGTTTGGCATACAGCTGATGTAGCAGGGCATAATCACAGAAACAGTGAACCACTGACTGATGGGATGGCCTCAAAGTCCTATAGGAAATAGAGTAACATCAGGCTGAATGACACTGTTTCCCAAACCATTATAGCAGATGAGCTGAGGAAGTGAGGGCTAGGTGAGTGGAGAATGAGGTGGATTGATATCTGGCTGGCTGGCAGGGCTCAAAGGATTGTCTTCACTGGGGCAGAAGACAATTCTCCCCTCATACTCTGCCCCAGTTGATATCCCCTACGGATCTTCACAAGCATTACTAAGATTCCCTCTTAGCCTTCCCTACAGCATGCCGAACAGGCCCAGGTCTTTCTGCCTTTCCTCATATGGGTGATGCTCCGGGTCTCAATCATCTTTAATGCCCTCCACTACACTCTCCCAAGCAGTTCTCTGTCTGCATGTATAATCAATGAATTACAGATGCAATAATTATAAATTGCCTTAGCTTTCCTCATTGCATCCCTGCAGGCCCTGGCAGCATTCCATTATTCTTCCCAAGTGCCCATGCCCTTTTTCACATTTCATAGACTTTCTTCCTGCCTTTGTGATTATCTATGAGTTCCTTGCTCATGCATGCTGGTCCCTGTTCAGCTTTGTCTGACTTTTAACGCAGAGGGATGCACTGATCTCAAGCGTAGAGGAATCAAAGGAAGTGATGCTTGAATGTTAACCACCTGCCTTGGTCCCCCTAATCTTCCAGTGCTCTGACCCAAAGGGTACCTCCAAGTGGGTACCTGAAGTGTCAGAGTCACATTTCCTGCTACTGGACTGTTTTCCTACTTCTTGGCATGGTTCTTCCACTCAGCATCCTGAACTCCACTGTCTCACAGTTCTGACTATGAATGAAAACTCAAGTAGGATTAAGGCCCGTTATCAACTCCTGCAGCACACCTGCAGCTGCTGGCCTCCAGCAAAACCTTCTACCACTGACCACCACTCTGACTGGTCTGGCCATTCAGCCAGTTTTTGATCCTCCTCATTCTCTACCTATGCAGCCCCTACATCAGTCACTTTCTCGAGTCAGGACACAAAAACCCTCTGCTTCTCTTTCATCTTCCAACTTACTGTGCTCAAAATAGACACTGTAAAAAGCTTCCTTTAACGTTTCTTGACCCATGACCAAGGGACCCATGACTCAAGGGACATCTGGATAAAACCCTACATAACATGCTTTCACTTTTTGTTAGTCCTGAAATGGTCAGGCAGTTGGACTAAATGATCTCTAAATGTCACTTACAAGTGATTTTTTTTTTTTTAATAATGGTTGTATAAATCCATGTTGAGATAAAACATAAAAGTTATTATCTTACTGCTACATGTCCTTGGCTGATGAAAAATAAATCATGAGCACTTACAGACAACACTCAAAATTCAGCAGAGTAACTTATTATAAATTTATTACACGGAGATTTTTTTCTACACGTTTTGACTTTTGCGTGACACATTGAATCAGAGGTTGATTCAGCTGTGCTTCATTCAGCAGCATTGCCAAGCACTGGCCTATACTTCCCTGTGTCACATGAACTCTTCCCTCTACCATTGCAGCAATGAGCCAACACTGCAGGAGAATTAGGCTTCCTCCACAGTCATGAATGCTTCTGGAAGTCCACTGAAATGTGGGAGGGACAAGAGAGGAGAATAAGGTCAGCTAGCTGATGGGGCATGGCTGAGCACAACCACTGCCCGCAGCAAATACTCCACATCCCACATGCAGAGCCATGCACACCAGATAGAAACTTGTCATTTTCTCCTGGTTGGCACAGCAGGGGCCTTCTTCATGCCATGTTCCCAGGCTAATTCTCTTCATACTTGTTCTCTTCTAGATGCATATTTCTCTCAATTTCTGGGCTCACATATGGTTGGAGTGACTTACTAAGGCCTTCAGACATCACTTTACTTCTCACAGATATCCCCCAATCCTGCTTCCCAGACTTACGTACTGCCAACTGCTGCATCCCAGACCACTCGCACTTCAGAAGCCTTCCTGGATCTTCCAGTGCTTGTTAGGATCTTCCTGAATTCTCCAGTTTATGGTGAGATGACTTCTCTATGGCAGGGCCTTGATGAACAGCCTCTTACAAAACATTTGTTTGTAAAGCATGCCGAGTCCTACTCATGCTGAGAATTCCATCTGTCTTGGGAACTGACTTGGAAGAGCAGCAGCCTGATTTACCCCACCTGATACCAGCTGCCAACCAGAAGGTCAGCGATAGGGTTCACTGTTAGAGTTAGGTTTAAGATTAGAGTTCAGGCCAGGGCTAGCACTGATGATTAGATTCAGTGTTAGGTGAAGTGCTAGCACTTGAATTAGTGTTAGGTTGAGGGATGTGAGAAGAACTGGTGTTTAGGGGAAAGGGTTTGGGTTTTGGTTAAAGTTTAGGACAAGAAAACGCTAAGGTTAGACTTCAATATTAGGAGTTTGAGTTATGGGTTAGCAGTTAGGGTTGGGGGTTAGAGTTAAGATTAAAGGTTTAGTAAATGGGTTAGAGGTAGCACTAGTCACCAGTTTGCAGCTTCCTCCCATGGAGAAAAACTACATGAGGACACAGATGGATATGGTTAATTGACAGCAAAGGAAAGCAAAAGGCACAGTTCTGTAAAAATAAGTTTTACTAAGTCCAAGTTATATCCACTGAATTATGGTGCCACAGAATGGCTTTGGTTGGCAAGATCAGAAAAAACATCTAGTTCCAACCCTCCTTCTGTGGGCAGGGTTGCCAACCACAAGACCAGACTGCCCAGGAACACGTCAAGACTGGCCTTGAATGCCTCCAGAGATGAGGCATTCACAAATTCTGATCTTGATCCATCAGGACTCCCAACTGAATGTGCTTTTCCACAATGGAGATCCTCTGCTCATGTACTTTCTTTGCTGTTATTTCATCGCAGATGCAATGAGGCATATGCTGAAATCTCAAGTTCCATAGAATCGAGGTAGGAAAAGAAGAGATGATTGAAAGTATTGGAAGGGAACAGAAGAAGCACAAGTAGTTTGAAAATATTGAAGATGTGTTAAAGAAAAAAACATACTAATGGAAAACAACAAAGCACAAGCTTAGAATGGGACACATTAGAAGTCACCTGGGGAGAGAGATGGAATCATCATGATTACCAGGAAACATCCACAGTAACAGTTTCCAAATGGAATCCTTCAGTGCCTGGTTCCTCACACTGTAGATGAGGGGGTTCACTGCTGGAGGCACCACCGAGTACAGAATTGCCACCGCCACATCCATTGCTGGGGAGGAGATGGACTGGGGCTTCAGGTAGGTAAAGAAGCCAGTGCTGATGAACACAGACACCACGGCCAGGTGAGGGAGGCACGTGGAAAAGGCTTTGTGCCATCCCTTGTCATGGTTTTGTGATTTTTGGCTTTCGGTATTCCACATCATAACATCATGTGGGGCACTGGGACTTTAACTGTCAGTGCTCAAGTCCTGGGTACCTGCCCTGAAGAGAAGAAGAACTACATTCCCCAGGGGACCTTGCGGTCAGGGAGAGGAGGTTTAACTCCTGGCAAGGTTGCCTGATTGCTCTTTCTCGCCTGCCCTTCGTCGTGGACACTGCTCCCGTCTCCCTGCTGCTCAACTGGACTGCGCATCTCACCTCAGCGTTGTGGTGAGGCCTATCCACCTTTCGGACATTCTCTCTCTCATTATATTTGATTTATTAGCTTCAATTCTGATTATATTGTATTATAGTGTGTTATCTTGCATTCCGATAATATACTTAGTAAATTAGTTTGTTTCTCCTCAGATCGGTGCCGCTGTTTTAATTATTTTGGGGTCTCCTGTTTCCTTTTTTTCCGGAGGCGCGGATCTGCGGATCCCTCCGCCCCGCTCGTCACGGAACCGGGCCAAACCAGCCCGTAAACCGTTGACATCCCTGCACAGAGGGCATCCTCAGCACAGCCCTGAAGGTCAGCACATAGGAAAGCAGAATGAAAACAAAACACCCAAAAAACAAAAAAGCACGGAATGTCATAAGACTGAGATTCCTGAGGTAAGGGTACGAACAAGAGAGCTTGAGAATGTGAGGAATTTCACAGAAGAACTGGTCCACAGCGTTGCCTCGGCACAGTGGCAGTAAAAATGTATTGGCAGTGTGCAGCAGAGAATTGAGAAGCCCAGTGCCCCAGGCAGCTGCTGCCATGCTGGCACAAGCTGTGCTGCCCATGAGGGTCCTGTAGTGCAGAGGCTTGCAGATGGCAACATAGCGGTCATAGGACATGACAGTGAGAAGGTAAAATTCGGCTGAAAATAAGAATGAAAACAGAAAGACCTGGGCAGCACATGCACTGTAGGAGATGGCCCTGGTGTCCCAGAGGGCATTGGCCATGGCTTGGGGACAGTGGTGGAGATGCAGCCCAGGTAAAGGAGGGCGAGGTTGAGGAGGAAGAAGTACATGGGGGTGTGCAGGCAGTGGTCGCAGGCTGCGGCTGTGCTGATGAGGCCGTTGCCCAGGAGGGCGGCCAGGCAGATGCCCAGCAAGAGCGAGAAGTGCAGGAGCTGCAGCTGCCGCGTGTCTGCCAGCGCCAGGAGGAGGAACTCGCTGATGGAGCTGCTGTTGGGCATCTGCTGCTCCTGGACATGGGTAATCATCAAAGGAGAAACAAAAGGCAAGTTAGGTGAGACTTCTCTTGGCAAAACCCTGCACCATTCCTTGGTGACCTTCCTCCTGTCATATAATCCAATACATTTTCTTTCTCTAAAGGAAGTGATTGTTCAGATCCATGATTTGAGATCATTTTCATGAATTGGAATATGTAAGGCAGAGGAGAGTCTTCTGCCCATGGGCTCTTGAGAAAGCAATCCTGACCCATCCACGTGGGTAATTGCAAAGAGGCCGGAGTGCTTGGTTTTACTTTTAGAATGTGACATCTCTCTTGGCATCTCCCCACTTCATCTCCCTGGGCTTCCAGGTAACACAGAGATGCTGTGGGAAAGATTTGCATCCTGCAGGGCAGCTCACAGCTTGGAAAGACATCTGTCTTAGAGAGACAGCCAAGTGTCCTAATGATGGCATCTCATTAAAAGAATGTCAGCTCATTCCCTAGCCTCACAGACTTTGCTGTCCACAGCCCCAGGCAGCTGCTCTCAGCCTCAGAAGGAAAGGAGCTCATGCCTGGAGAGATGCAGCCCTGCTCTGCTGGAGCTCTGGCTGCAGAGTAGGGAGTTCATGCTTGGACACCACTGCCATGAAGGCAGAGGTATTTCTGGGTGGGAGAGGATGCAGGGGGCTTGCATGGAAGGGATGCTATGTGGTTGTCTCTTGTCTCTGCAGACAACATTTCTGTTTTTCCTTTCCTCTCATTGCCTGATCACATCCCAGCTGCCTAGAGATTGTCTTCCCTCCCTGCCATTTCCATGTCTCATGTCTTTTCCTTCTTTTCCTTTCTGTACTCACACTCACCACCCAAAAGTCAGTGCACCCATCTTTGCCTGTCAGGAAACTGCCTATTTGCAGGGCAGTATCCATGTGCATGCTTGTCTTTGCAGGTATAAACAGACATATCAGAAAGCCTGAATGGGATCAACAAAGCTGACGCTCGTTCTGTCCACTGAGTGAGGAAAGGCTGATGGAACATGAGGATGCTGCTCACAATCCTACTCAACTCCAAAGCTACAGCAGTACAGCAGTCTCAGTGATGTGTCAACATAGACAGCTCCTCTCCCATTTCTGCAGTCATCCCTGCCCTAAGGGTAGGAAAATGAACACAGGGCAGAAAGTCCCATGTTTGGTCCTGCTTCTTAAAAAGTCCCCTCTGCAGTGCCCTGAGTGTGCAATGCAGCTGTGAGCCCCCAGTACCCCTAGCAGCAGAAGGCCCCTGTGCTGCTGGGGAGCTCCTTCCTTCCCCCCACACATCTCCCTGCAACTACCTGGCTCTGCAGGACAGTCCTTTTCACTTCCATGGGGACGGGATTCAGCTGAATCAGTTGAGGCATCTTATCCTGAAGTTGCAGCCCTAGGTCCTGAAGGCAGTCAACTCCCTCCCATGCCTCCCACACACAAAGCTAGCCAAGCACTGACCACACATTTGGGCACAAGCATCCCTCCTCTTCCGCAGGCTTCTTTCTCCTCCATCTACATTAATTCCCCATCTTTGTCTGCTGCAGTCACTATCCATTTATCAGCTCTCACTGACTACATTTCCCTCTTGCATCCCCACAATGCTATCCCCATGCTGGCTGTGCCTCCCTCTCCCTGACAGAGCTGCCATCTGTGTCACAGGGGTTGTGCTGCACTCACTGACATCTCTGTGTCTGCTGTAATAAAAAATACCCTTAAATATGACAACTCCTTTTTTGGACAGTGCTCCTAGAAAGCTTTGTCTGCAACACTGAGACCTCCCTAATGAACAGTTCAAGTCTTGAAGACTTGATGGAAATGCCTTGTTAGGTCTTTCTGCACTGTAATGAGTCCCACAGCGAATGTGGTGTGCATGAACTTCTGGTACTGAGAAAAGCCTGCTGTAACCAAATGATGAAGGTGCAGTCAAAATGCTGTCCAGAAATGTTGGAGAGTGTTGGAGTATTAATTGGTCCCTGAGGGGCCATTACCAACAAAGCCTCCCCACATCCATGTTAGAGCAGATAATTGGAGGTCGTGATTCCCAGCAGGCAAAGGCCCTGTGCAGGTACTTTCAAGCTGAGGAAAGCCCTTGATATGTCTGGTGCAGCAGAAGGGTAGGGCCATAGCTGCAGCCTCTGGGAAGGGTGGTCCTGTCCCTCACTGATGGCCCAAAGCTCTCCCACAGTCAGTGGGATGTGAATCATAGAATCATTTAATCACAAGGTTGGAAACGACCTGCAAGATCATCCAGTCCAACCATTACCATTGCTACCACAAACCCCTAAGCCATATCTCATAGCTCCTCACCCAGATGCCTCTTGAACACTGCCAGGGTCGGCAACTCCACCACTCCCTGGACAGCCATTCCATTGTGTGACCACTCTCTGAGAGAAAAAGGTGCCAAAACCCTCCTCCTCTCAACCTCTCTTCAGGAAGTTTGAGAGTACAATAAAGTCTCCTCTGAGCCTCCTCTTCTCCAGATTAAACAATCCCAGCTCCCTCAGCTGCTCCTCATAAGACTTGTGCTCCAGACCCCTCACCAGTTTTGCTGCCCTTCTCTGGACACGCTCCAGGGCCTCAATGTCTTTCTTATAGTGAGGGGCCCAAAACTGAACACTCGTTCAGAGTACTCGAGGTGCAGCCTCACCAGTGCTGAGTACAGGGGGACGATTACCTCCCTGCTCCTGCTGGCTACACTGTTTCTAATGCAGGCCAGGATGCTGGACCTCTTGGCCACCTGGGCACACTGTTGGCTCATGTTCAGCCAAGCATTAACCAACTCCCCCAGGTCCCTTTCCTCTTCACAGTCATTCAGACACTCAGCCCAAGCCTGCAGTGCTGCCTGGAGTTATTGTGGCCAAAGTGCAGGACCCGGCACTTAGCCTTGTTAAACCTCATCCCATTCCCCTCAGCCCAGTGATCCAGCTTATCCAGATCCCTCTGCAGGGCCTCCCTACCTTCAGGCAGATCAACACTGCCTCCCACCTTGGTGTCATCTGCAAACTTACTGAGGGCACACTCAGTGCCTTCATCAAGGCCATCAATAAAGATATTAAACAAGATGGGCCCCAGTACCAACTCCTTGGGGACACCACTTGTAACGGGTCGCCAGTTGGACTTAGCTCCATTAACCACTGCCCATTGGCCACGGCCCTCTAGCCAGTTACTTACGCAAAGAAGAGTGTACCTGTCCAAGAAGAGCATACCTGTCCTATGTCCATGTGTAGTGTTCTGTGAGGAAAAATAATATGACAACTACTGGCCTGCTACTACTACTCCCTACAGGACTGGAAGAAGGCAAGGAGGCCTCAGTGGCACGATGACAACATGTGCCCTCTTGAGCCTCAAGAGCAGACACAAGTGCCACAGCCAAGAGGACAAAGACCTTGGTTTTCTCTCAGGGCCCTCCAGCCTTGCCAGTGCTGTTGGCCATCTCCACCAGAGGCTGTTCCATGCAGTCCTACACTCGCCTCCTTTTCCCTGCAGGCTGCAGACACTCACTTCGACTCCTGCACTCGCACTCACCCGGGCATTGCCTTACTCTGATGGTTCTGCAATCTCACTAGTTGTTCCTTGTGACACAACAGCACAAATTGATCACAGAGTCCTGCTGGGTGTCTCTGGCACCATAGCACTACCATTGTAGGGGAGGGCTGACCTGTCAGTTTGTGCAGAAAGAATCACTTCTAAGGTCCTTTTCCAGCCATGTTCCTCTTGTAGTCCTTCAGGAGATTTCCACAAAATGGTAATCCTTTATGTGTCGACCCTTTCACAATTGTATCTGTCTAAGCTGTATGCTATATAAGGAAATCACAGAAGGCTTGAATTACTTTACAGCTCTCAGAGAAAAGGAGAAAAAGGAAAGAAAAATTAAAATGAGTAAGAAGATCACCCTGCTTATTATCCTTTATGTCCTTCACTAGCTTCAGCTCAGCGTGAACTTTAGCCTTCTATGTTGCTTCTCTGCAGGCTCTGACAACACTTCTGTACTCCTCCCAAGGGGACATGCCCTTTTTTCAACTTTTCCTAAACCTTCTTCTTCCCTTTGATCTTATCCATGAACTCCTTGCTCATCCATGCAGGCCTCCTGCATCCATTCCCTGATTTTCTACTCTTAGGGTTGCACCGATCCTGAGCTTGGAAGAAGTGCTGTTTAAATGTTGGCCACCTCTCATGGGCTCCCTTACCTTCAAGCACTCCAGCCCATGAAACACCTCCAAGTAGGTCCCAGAAATTGTTGAAGTGGGCTCTCTGAAAGTCCAGGGCAGCAATCCCACTTTTTCCCTTACTTCTTCCACCCAAGATCTTGAACACCACCATCTCATGATCGCTGCATCGCAAGCTGCCCCCAAACTTCTCATCCCTAACAAGCCCATACCTGCTGGAAAGAACAAGGTCTAAAATCACCCCACTCCTTGTTGGCTTCTCCAACAGCTGCGTGACAACATTTTCCTCAGTGCATTGCAGGATCCGTCTGGACTGTGTGTGCCTGGGCATGTTGTTTATCCAGCAGATATGTGGATGATTCATGTCCCCCATGAGAACCAGTGCATGGGATTGCAAGGCTACTTCCAGCTGCATGAAGAAGGCCTCATCGACTTCATCCTCCTGATCTGGTGACTGTAGTACACCCCACAACAGTGTCGGCCATACCAGCCCTGCTCTTAATTCTCACCCACAAGCACTCCACACGTTCTTCACCCACTCATGGGTGCACCTAAATCCATTCTAGTTGTCTCACATAAAGGGCAACTCCTCCACCTTGCTTCCCCAGCCTGTCTTTCTTGAAAAGGACACAGCCGCCCATGACAGCATTCTAATCATGTGAGCTGTCTCACCACATCTCCGTGACTGCAGTGAGATCATGGCCCTGCGACTGTACACAGATCTCCAGCTCATCCTGTTTATTTCCCATGCTATGCGCACTGGTCTACAGGCACTTCAGGGAAGCAGCAGGTGCAGTTACCCCTAGAGGGACACAGGAAGATTTTGGATGGGGTAC